TTTTCCGTGGTACGCGAGCCTCTCACTGCTGTGGCCTCTCCCGTTGCGGAGCACAGGCTCCGGACACGCAGGCTCAGCGGCCACGGCCCACGGGCCCAGCCGCTCCGCGGCACGCGGGACCCTCCCGGACCGGGGCACGAACCCGCGCCCCCTGCATCAGCAGGCGGACCCCCAACCACTGCATCACCAGGGAAGCCCTGTAGCCCATTTTAAAACCCAATGAAGGCCATGGATACTGCCCCAGAAAAATGCATGCACGCGATATGCTCCACCCGTACCTCTATGTTCCTTCTAAAGCCCCTGCCTGCACCCCCAAGCTAAAAAATATCTGACAAAAAGAGATGCGATTATCAAAGCACTCATCCCACAAACTCACATGTCAGGTCCTGTTCTCACTTAGTGTCCCCACAGGGCAGGGGACAGGGTCTCTGCTCCACCCATTCCCGTCAGCACTCACTCTCGAGCTGCGACTTGTTTTTTGAGCACCTGCCCTGCTGCAGGCACTGGGCTAAGTGCTGGGGCCACGGCCAGCCCCCAAGGAGCTCACAGCCAGCTGGGGAGAGGATGGATGAGCCGGGCAGTGTCATGAGTTCTATATTAAAGCTTTTAACAAAGTGCCGGGGGGATGGAGGAGGAAGCCGTGAATTCTGCTGCATGGAGGAGGCAACATCTGAGCTGGACCAGTGAATGAGTAGGATTTGCCAAGTGGTAAAAGGACTTCGGGCGGGGGGCATTTCATACGAGGAACTGCATCAGAAAGATGCAGATAGCCCTTGGCATGTTTGGGGAACTCAGGGCATGCAGACCAGTGCTGCCTGGACAGAGTGGTGGGTGACAGGAGGGTCTGGAGATGAGCCCATAAAGGTGGGCTGTGACCATAACATACATGAGAAATATAATGAACACTGTTGTCTGTTACATACGGAAGTTGTTAAGAGAGAAAATCCTAAGAGTTTTCATCACGAAGGAAAAAATCTATTTTTTTCTGTCTTTAATTTTGCATCTATATGAGGTGGTGGATGTTCACTAAGCTTATTGTAATCATTTCATGACGTATGTAAGTCAAATCATTATGCTGGACACCTGAAAGTTACACAGTGCTGTATGTCAATTACATCTCAATAAAACTGAAAGAAAAAAAAAAAAAAAGTGGGCTGTGCCCAGAATCAAAGGACTTTGAACTGATGCTTTGGGCAACAAGGAGCCAGAGAATGACGTGACCAGATCTGTCTGGCAGTGACAAGGAGGAATGGGGGACAGAGGGCAGGGAGACTGGAGCCCGGGAGCCGCTGGGCAGAGTTTGGGAGTCAGGCTTGGCGGGTGGACCCAGCACCTCTGAGAACAGCAGCTGGAGTCACCGAATCCAGCGGCTCTCACAACAGAGCCCTTGCGTCTCCTTCTGGTCTCACAGGACAGGCGCAGCTGCCATCCTGTTATTTCAGGTGGGCTCTGCTTCCTCCTCCGCTCCTCCTTACCCCACCTCCTCACATCTCTCTGGCTTGCTCTAAAACAGCCTTTCATTCCAGAATCACAGAGGAGCCTCAGATGCACACGTTCCTGGGGGATCTGACTTCCTTTAATCCACCCTCATTCAACAGCTGGATCCAACACAGATTTCCTGAGACTCTCCCACTGGGCACAGAGAGAGCCCTGTGAGCTGTGAGGCAGGCACAGACCCCACCCCGATGATGCATTAATGCGTGGGGAGGGGGGTGGCATGGACACCAAGAATGGTCCTTCCTGCAAAGCAGCCTGGGTGTGTGCACAGCCTGGGTGTGTGTGGGTGTTTGGGGAACTGAGGGGGAAAGGAGTCACCCCTCTCGGTGGAATGGGAGTGGGTCAGATTTACAAAGTCTCAATAGTGGACCCCAGGGTTTCAGTTCTACCTTTCATAGCTGTGTGAAAGCAAGTCACGCCACCTCTCTTAGCCTCCGTGTCCTCATTTAGAAAGACACAAATGTACAGACTTCATTTACAATGCTGCGAGGATGATCCAATAAGATACTGTAAAGCTCAGTGTCTAGGGATGGGATTGTAATCATGTGGTAAGCAGCCTCTAAAATGGCTCCCAGGGCTTCCCTGGTGATGCAGTGGTTAAGAAACCGCCTGCCAATGCAGGAGACACGGGTTCGAGCCCCAGTCTGGGAAGATCCCACATGCCGCAGAGCAACTAAGCCCGTGCGCCACAACTACTGAAGCCCAGGCGCCTAGAGCCCCTGCTCCATAAGAAGAGAAGCCACCGCAATGAGAAGCCCACGCACCGCAACAAAGAGTAGCCCCCGCTCGCCACAACTAGAGAAAGCCCGTGTGCAGCAACGCAGACCCAACACAGCCAAAAATAAATAAATAAATAATTTAAAAAATAAAAATAAAAAATAATAAAATGACCCCCAATGATCCCTGCCTCCTGGTGTTCACACCCTGTGTAATCCTATCCTGGGTGTGGGCTGGACCTAATGACTTGGTTCCAACCAGCAGAATATGGCAAAAGCGATAGGACCGCACTTCTAAGATGAGGTTACAAAAAGACTCCGGCTTCCATCTTGCTCGCACTCTACCGCTGTCTTCCTTGCCTGCTCTGATGGAAGCCAGCTGCCACGTTGTGAGCCATCCTATGCGGAGGTCCACGTGGCAGGAACTGAGGGGGGACACTGAATCTTGCCACAACCACATGAAAGCTCTTAAAAATGGATCTCCCCCCAGCAGTCACTGAGGTAACCCTGGGAAACACCTTGAGAACAGCCTGTGAAAGACTCTGAACCAGAGGACCCAGTTAAGTCATGTTTTGCTTCCTGATCCACAGAAACCCTGAGATAATGTGTTTGTTGTTTTAAGCCTCTAAGTTTTCGCATAATTTGTTATGCAGCAGTAGCTAACTAATACAATCAGGGTGATACTGAAACTGTTTAGTAACCAGCTCAGTACAGGCGTTAACCAATCAGAGCAGATGCTGACTGCAGCAACTCGCTAGAGCACTGGGAGTTCAGGGCGGGGACAGTGGAGGGGCAAGTAAGTGGTGGGAATTAATCTTATGGAAATACTCACATAAGGGCATAAAAGTACGTGTTTGCAAGAATATTCACTGCAGTATTATTTGTTGTAGTGAAAGATTGAAACAACTGAAAAGTCTATGCACAGGGGACTGGTTCAATTAAGGTACATCCACACAATGGGCTATCATACAGCCATTAGGAAGAATGAGACGTGTGCTGATACAGAATGATGGGCAAGATATACTTTGTTCAGGAGCAGAACAGAGGACATCATATGACATCTTTGGTGTTAAATATACGTACGTATACTTACCTGAAGGCTTGTAGCCCTAGAAATACCCTGGTAGCCCTGGTTGCCTCCAGGAAGGGGAATTGGAAGATGGGATCAGGGACAGGAGAGAAACCTAATTTTCCTGTCTCCTGAAACTCCCTGGGATGCTCCTTCTATCATCGGGGGGGTGGGGGTGGAGTGGGGGGGTGGGGAAGCAATTATGGTTGTGTTCTGGGAGGACTCATAAACCCTAATTTGGTGTCTTTGGAGATTTTCTAAATAGAGAGTGTGCTGAGTGGAAGGGCCCTGGCTCCCCTCCCCCTCCGCCACCAGAGCAGTCCCTCTCCCTGGGGATTTTATTGGAAAAAACGGTTCCTCTGCTTGAACGAAGAAAAGTTGGAACTCATTCTGCCCCTTTTCTTCCCTCAGTTCCCACTCAACTCCCCACCACCCCTCCACTCCCTGCCACTGCCATTGCCCCTGCCAGCCTGGCTCAATCTGAGCTGAGTCCAGCCCCATCCAGGCATCTCTGTGGATCCCTGGGGACTCACCTGGTACGTCCGGGGATGGATTGAGAATCATGAAGGCATCTGACAGGCCTGCTTTGACGGGGTGCTGGGACGAGCTGATTTCCAGGATGGGCATAGGGATCTGCAGCGGGAGGAAGAGGCTCTGTCTACCCCCCAAACGCTCTTGGGCCAGCCTAGACTTCCCCTCCGAGCTCCAGACCCATCTGCCTGCTGGGCCTTGCCTCTTGGAGGACTCAGACATCTCAAACCCAATGGGGCCCCATCCAAATTCCAAGTCTTCCCCACACTATCTCCAAACACATTTCCTTTTTCTTTTCTCCCTCTTTGTGAATGGTACCTCCATGCAGGCCAGAGACCTGGGAGTCACCCTCAGTTCGCACCCCCCTTCATTTCCCTCCTCCTCCATCTAATACATCTCCAGTCCTGTTAATTAGCTTGCTAACTGGCTCTCAAATCTATCCAGTTTTCTCCATCGCCCCCTCCCTACCCCAAGCTGGCATCACCTCTCTCCCGCATCATCTCCCAGCATCCCCTCTGAGCCCCAGCCCTCTGCTCTCCACTCTGAAACCAGAGCGTCCTTTTCAAAGGCAAATCCGGTTGTCCCCCTGCACCCCCTTCTTGCCCTCACTCTCTCCCCTCCGGCCAGGCAGCCTTCTTGCAGAGCTTTCTGCCGGCCATGCTCTGTCCTGCCACAGAGCCTTTGCATGTGTTTTCTCGCTCCTGGAGCACACTTCATTTCTTTGCTTCCTTAGCTCCTACGCATTCTGCAGATTTCAATTCTTTTCCTCGGGAGAGCCTTCCCTGACCCCTGTTCAGGTAAAGAGCCCCGTGAAAGGCTTTCCTGGCATCTCCATTTAGGAGCACTTGTCACAGTGGCAATTCTACACTGCTACCCACAATTAACATCTATCCCTCCAGGCAGACTCTCAGCTCCACAAAGGTAGGGCTGTCAGCCATCTTATTAACTGCTGTATCCCCGGCACCACACCCTATGTCTGGCACATTGGAGGATCTCGACAGATAACTGCTGAATGAAAGAAAGGCGGTCTCTGCAGCTGGGCCCACTCACCTCTTTGTAGCCGAATACAATGCGGCCATCTTGGTGCAGAGCTGCCTGGAAGGTGAAGCTGCCCCTGTCCTCCCGGTCCTGGAGGTAGACGTGGTCCCACTGAACAACAAAGACTGTCCCTGGTGAGGAGAGCAGAGACCTGGCTGGACAGGGAGACAGTGAGGGGAGCAGGGCCCTGCGGAAACGGTGGCCATTGTGGATGGGCCACAGCTTGGCTTCCTTAGGGATGATGGGGCAGGAGGCAGGAGCTGGGCAGCCCACAAACAGCCTGACTTCCAAGCTAAAGAGGAGCCAGAAAACCCTTCTTCAGCTTCCCACCCCCAACCAGGTACTGTGATTGACCATCTCCAACCCCAAGCACGCCCCTCCCTTCTTGCCTATCCTGACCCCTTGAGATGAAAAGGAGGAGAAACATCTGTTCTTCCGGGGTGGAAGGTAGGTGTTCAAGGGACAACCTGGTGAGAATAAGAATAAGTAAAGGTCTCTGATATTTATTTCACCTCTACTAAGAGCCAAGCGCTTTCATTTCATTATCTCATCAGGTAGCAAGGCATTTTTGTCCCCATCTTACAGGTGAGGAAAATGAACACAGAAAGTTAGGGTGGCGGTCTTGCTGTGTGACTGTGGGCAAGTCCCTTGCCCTCTCTGGGACTTGGGCTCCTCTAAACGGGCTGGACCAAGGGAGCCCTGGAGCCGGGTGACTTAAACTCTGAGCTCTGATCTCACCATTGTCAAAGTAAGCAACTGTGGAGTTGTCGGAGCGGCCAGGGTTGAAGTTGGCCATCAGAGGAGCCACATACTGAGTAGCCGTGAGCATCCGATGGACCACATCACCCATGAAGATGAAGCCTGGGGTGGGAAGAAGTGCAGACAAATCATCAGGGATGGCCCAGAGGGGCTGCTTCCTCGTGCAGGAAAGAGCGGTGTAGACGGGGCTGGAAGTGAGTCTTGGACCTCTGTCCACCAGCCTCGCATAGTAGGCATGGGTCTGGCACGTATGGAGCTAAAGGACCCCAGATCAGAAGGTTCTCTCTGCCCCTCCCACCTCTCTCTGTCCCTTGGAAAGTGCACAGGAATCAAAGGCAGGCTCCTCATATCAACTGGAAGCCTGGTCTCAGGAAGCAGGCTCTCACTGCAGTCTCCTCCCTCTCATTTACAGACTCAGAAGCAGAGGGGCCAAGGGACTGCCCACAGTGGCCTGCACAGACCCAGAGGGAGAGAAAAACACACACACACACAGACATACACACACACACAAGCAAGTCAGTTGATGTGAGGAAGCTGGGCTGAAACACTGATGACCTCTCTCCTGAGAGTGGGGTCCCAAGAGAGCCACATGTGGGACCCTCCCCAGTCCATCTGTAAAACCCTGTCTCCAGGGAACCTTCCCAGATAGGTCCCAAGTTCTGGCTGAAATCTCCACACCCTCTCCCAGTCCCACAGACAAGGCCTTACCTCCGGTTGCTATGGTGATCTGCCGCAGAGGATGCCCGTAGAAAGGGAAATCAAAGGACAAGACCACTCTCTGCAGGGGATGGGAGAGAATCAGCATGGGCCAACCTGCAGGCCAGAGGGCCCGGCATCCACACTGCCCCATGCTTATCTGGATGGGATTGGGTGGCGGGGGTGGG